CACACACACACACACACACACACACACACACACACACCAACCTGCTCTCTGGCTGTTCCAACGTGCGTGACTAACCACTTTGTTTTTTCTTTTCCTTCTTGTTGCTGTTTTCAGTTTTACAAGGTATGTTGAAGCGTGGCCCAATTTTCTGCTACGACCTCCAAGTTGTTGGGCTGCAGTCCAACATCCAAGAGCTGGAACGCTTCTCGCACACGTGCACACGCCCAGGGCTCGTGCACACGCCCCATTATAAGGGTTCATACTGTATGTGTTTCATAGATGTGTACAGGTTTGAGGGAAAAGCTGTACTTGTACAGAAAGTGTTGGATGTTTTTACAGACACTGAAGCTCAGAGGGGACAGTTTGTGACACAGTGTGAGTTCATCTGGTTATTTCTGTTTGTTGAGTTAAACTCACTTCATGTTCCTGCAGTCACTCAGACACACTGAGGACCTCACAAAGATTAATAAAACTAATTTACATGTACAGGTGGTGCCTGGTTTCACTCATGAATACCTGTAAACAGCTCAACACCTGCAGGAGCATCTGATTCACAATGTGAACCACAACATGTCTACAAAGGTCTTGGTTCTGTTTGAAGTGGATGGGTTTGGTGGACCAGGTCTTGGTTCTGTTTGGACAGTGAGTGTCTGCAGCTGACTCCAGCTCCTCCTCACGATGACATCATCCTTCAGATTAGATGAAGCTGTTGCTGCTTCAGGTAAATATCAGCTGACATGAAATGTTCCCGTTGGAAGAGATCACACTGATACTTCTTCAGAACCCATCCTCTTTCTTCTTCTGTGCTTTCATAAACACGTCAGAGTGATGAAGATGAGCTCCACCTGTTGTGGTCTGGACACCAGCTTTAGTCCCAGCTGCACCTCTAACCTGACCTACGACCCAACAACCTCTGATCTCTCACCAGTTTATGAACGCCAGGACCTGGAACAAACAAAACCAACCAGGGTGGCCCACGGGCCTGACCTGGACCCTGAACCTCACCACCCTTACAAACAGGTGTGTGTGTGTGTGTGTGTGTGTGTGTGTGTGTGTGTGTGTGTGTGTGTGTGTGTGTGTGTGTGTGT